GAGCACAAAAATGTGTTCTTCATACCAAATCCTTGGAGAACAAAAAACCCCACAAAACAAAACAACCAAACCAAAAAAAAAAGTGTCACAAAATCAGAGCATGAAATATAGAACTGCCTATGGATCTTCCTTCCTTCCAGGACATGGGTTATTATTTAAGTTGCAGGTGTCTGGAGACATGGTGTCTACGTATGTGTGCTGTAACAACTAGATAGACCTAAAAATCCTTCCTTCACAAGGGGCCCAATACTGTTTTTTACCAGTAACTATGATTTCCTGGACCAAAAGTAAGTTCCTATTCGCAAAAAAATTTGCATTAGACCATGTGCACATGCCCTTTCTGGCAGCTCCTCTGAATGTCCTGTTTCCCACTTAACTGAAGGGAACATTGCAATTAGGCTGATCAGCTCAGCTGGGACAGTCTGCAGCAGAGCTCATGGAAACCAGCTAATTGTGGCAATTAGGCACTTTCAACAGGATAAAAATTGAGAACTAATTTTGCTTTAGGATATTTATTTACCATTTGGACACAATACATATGATAACAGAAATCAAAATTGTTGTTACTATTATGGAAACATGGACTAAATACTTCTTAAAGGTCACTGTAGCACACAGGACAGCTAGACATACTCTGCTGTAATCAGAGAAAGATGACAAAGGTGCTGAGTTGAGATTTAGACAATTTGGGTTTGCTTCATCGCTCTCCCACAACCTCCCAGTGCAACCGACGCAAGGCCCTTAGTTTCACTGTGCTGCAGCTCCCCATCTGTCTAATGAGGATAATAATACTTTCCATTTGTCTTATCTATTTTGATGGTTAGCCCTACTGGTCAGGGGCCTCCTCTTACCAGGGGTTTTATACAGAATGAGCATCCTGATCTCATGGGCTGCCTGAAAAGGATACTGTAATATAGATAATAAATAACATAATCCATCATGAATTAACGTCTAGAGCTGAGATTTTTAACCTGGACTATCCATGGAATAATGACCTTTTTCAGTGCAAGCATACAGATATAGATCTCTGATAAACATGTATGAAAGGCAGAGAATTCAGGCAATTTAGCTCCTCAAACATAGTTCTTAAGCAATTAACCTAAACCCCAATGTTTGCACAGATACTTAAGGATCAGCTAGGTCAACAGTTGAGCACAAAAGAGAAAAAAGTACTCAGTCTGGCATAAATTTCATTGGCATAGAGCAAATGGCACATGCACATACAGCACCTGCCCTAAAGTCAGTACAACGATTAAGTCGTCATAACTGATCGTGCTCGAGTGGTACAGCAAGCTGGTGCCTCATCTTCTGCAAGGAACTGCCCTCAGGTGAAAACCACATGCATTGCAACGGGGTTAAGCACTCAAGCTAAACATTTTGCTAAAATTCATGAAGATGATGGATACGACTAATAGCTCTGGTGGACATCAGAACTGTAAGACGTTTGCAGATTCCTAATTTTGTTTCAAGATAGCCTATAGAGATTTGCAGCACAGCTGGATGATCCTGCAGCGCAGGATCAAATATCTATGAAAAAAAAAAAAAAAATCAATGGAAGTCTATAAACGAACTTTCTCAAGTCAGACTCTTAGGTTACTACCTCTGTCACCTGTTCAGGACAGTGACCCAACCCATCAGAACAAAGCTGCATTTTCCAATTACAGCCGAGCTTGTAGCAAAGGGATCTCTCTTAGAAAATCTTGAGCAACAAGAATAGCAGAAATGTCCAAGGAATCTTACTGAAGCAAGAAAGCATTGTTTGCCTGCTTCACTCGTCAATTTGCATCTACATTCAGATGCAAGATTATATACACCAGGTTGTATACTTATTTCAAGAAATGCTAGTTGCTCTGATTTCCCTAGGGAAATCTAATGATGGAAAAGTCTATCTTCTTTCACATTGTAGCTGGAGCAAATAAGAATAATTGTAAATAGCCATTCTTTGTTCACCAAGGTCTTAGAATGACAGCTGCACAACTCACCCCATCTGTGTATTTTTGCAGAACGCATAGGATGGCTGAGGTTTCCTTTTTGTTTTTTTCTCCACACTCCATTTTAGAGTTTCATATTATTCTATTCCTCTGAATGCAGAGAAACAGGAATGGGACTGTTTCTTAAGAGATTAATGAGGCATTATTCCGGCTATACATTGCCACTGAGTAAAGAGTATCTGCCAGCTCCTTAGTTGGTGGACACCAGGCAAGTCCTTGATGTCAGTAAAACTGTGAAGCTTTAGGCTACCTAAACGCTCTATTCAGAGAGTTAACATGGATCATACCTGACTATTGCACACAGCTATGCAAAAATCTCATTTACAAATTAAACTTTATTCCTGCTTTCGACCTCCTTTCCCCACCTGTCCTCTGCTACTTGAAACATTTTGTCTGCCCTCCTTTCTTTCAAAAGTCGTTGGCAAATGCCAGAGGTAAACCACTATTACCATATACACTTAACACCGCAGTGGCCTAATACCAAAGAGCTCACAGGATTGCTCTGACAACCAAATAAAAATGTCATGCGTGGAGAACACAAGATCAGAGTCTCATCTGCTCTGCAACCTAGCGTACGAAATACAATAGATTGAAATGTCTCTTTGATACTGCTCATTTCTCAGTCACTCAAGCAGACTCCTTAGGAAATCTCATCCCTTACCACATCACTGAACAGTGGTGGGATGGCAGAGACACACAACGGTGTTCTGCTCAGTGGAGCAATGTTTGGTCTCATATGTAGGTTGTAACTTTAGTATCTGCCATCCCACCACGACAGCATCCCTGCGTACTCCCTCTAGCTTGGTTTATTCCACTTCCTTTTCTTGTTGTCCCTTCCAATCCTCACTTCATCAAACTGTTGCATACAGGCTACTGAAGCGTGCGAGGGACACAACATCCTAGCTTTTACAGAAGCTCCTACCATCATCCATTTCCCTTCCAAACAGATAGACTCAACAGAAGGACTCACAAGAGCTCAAAAATCTCACTGGTATTTAATGAGGGTAAGTAAGTACCAGTGCACATTGTGGAAAGTTACTCTAGACTAAACAAAAAGTGAATTCAACATAGACTAATGAAACTGTATTTCAACCCTCTATAGTTGGGTTAATTCATAATTAAAGTAGCTGTAATCAGCTCTAACATAACTCAGTTTTGAAGAAAATTGAGTAAAATAGAAGCCATGCTGAATAGCTAGGTACACAAAGATAAGGACAGGCAGACAGAGTGAAACGCTGGTACCAAATCAGATTAAGCTTCCCAATTCTTCCATGCAGAGTTCCTAAATGAATTTGGATTCCTTTGCATTAGTTAACTTGATCCATCAAGTACATCATGCACTAAGGGCATTAGATTAGTCCTTAGATTGTGCATGGAAGGGCATTAGATTCTGAGTATTGTGCAGTATGTGTTAGGAGGAGCAGTACCCCCAAACATTTGTATCTCCCTAAAAGGACGCCCACCTAGTGTTGGCTGAGTATATTCACCCCAGCTACAGCAAAGACTTTGCCCTTGCTAAAAGGAGTGATTGGGGCCAACAAACCATATGAGATAAAAGGCTGAAACTCTTCCAGTACTGAGGACTGTCTGCCAGATCCTGACCTGCGCCTGACACATAAGATGACACCACTCATTGCTGGTCACACCTGAGCTAGGACTTCAATCAAAAAACCACAAAATAGGTGATTAATTTTGCACATATAAGCTATACCATTAGACTCAGTACCCTGTGGACTCCTGCTGCACTGGCATTGAAGCTGTAATCCAGTAATTACAGCAGACTGGCCAGAGACTTCCTCCACAAAGTGGATATTTGTAAGACTGTTAAAATTGTCAAGGGCTTTCAGCCTCAGATTCTGACTGCAGCCTTCCCAATGTAAATTTCTACTCACAAAATTGTCTTAATTAAAATTTATGTTGTTCATCTTAGTTTCAAACCACCTAGCTGCCACATAAATAGCCCTTACTAGCCTAGACTGACTAGTTCCGATTTCTACTGGTTAAAAATCAGCAGAAACAACTGATTAAGGCACAGGTCTGGAAAGAGTCCTCTATCAAGGCTTGGAATCTCACAGTCACTTAAAGATTTTTACAGGATGAATTTTTCTTGGGGGCTGCGTGCCTTGACTCATTCTCTACCTCCCAGGGGAGCAAAATGAAGCACAGTGAGGAACAGCCTTTTACAAAGGAACCACCAGCTCACCAAACTAAACCCCAGCTTCACTTCACTCTGAGGTTTGGCAACTCTCAGAGTGAAGTCCTGGACTTGAGCAGCAAGATCACCTCACTTCCCGATCTTCAGCTGAACACGACCCAAAATATACACTAACACCAACCACAGCAGGCACTCACTACTTCTAAAGTCCAGCTTTGAGTGGCATCAAATGACATTTTTATAAAATACACAGGGATGTGGCTCAAGCCCCTGTTAAATCATGGACAGCTGGCACCTTATTAATCTTTGATTTCACAGCAGTCTCCTTGTGCTGGCACCTTTGCTTCCTTGACATGTCATCCTTTTGAGAGTTAATGACTGGCAAAACCAGCATTGCCAAATCTGAAGCACTTAATTTCCAATTTAAACCCAAAACAACCTCTTTACAATGTTTCCTGCCTACATTGATCTTTCTGCCCAGGACTTCAGATCATCAGTCCCACCAGGGCAGACATTTGGAGTAGCTAGCTACCAAAGCTAAATAAAAAAAAATTCAAGGGTACACTGCAAAAGACGTCTTCACACCCCCCTCCCTCTTCTCTGAAGAGTTCAAGGAAACCCACACCATCACTAACGCTTCCCTTCCTGCAGGTCTCATCCTGCAAAGACAGGTTAAAAGCATGGTCAGGAATGATCTAGCAGCTCCTTAGAGCTATCAAAGGACTGATTCAAACATGACTCACATCTCGTTCATGTCAAGTGGGCAACTTCTGTAAGGAAGGACACTGTAACATGCATTGGAATAGCATGAGCACCTTAAGACAGCAAACACGGCATAGTGGCTTAATACTTACACTCAGCAGGAGGCACTTGTTTTCTTTGATGGCGCCTATGCAGCCCACGAAGCCAATGATCATGACAAATGTCCCTGTGACGATCAGTAGGTTGGCAGCTGACAGGGACGGGAAAGAAGAAGAGAGGGTGGCAAAGTTCCCTTGGGTAACAGCCAGCCAGATGCCTACTCCAAGGATTCCACAGCCTCCCAACTAGAAAAACAGAGAGAAACAAAGAATCTGTTATTGTATCAAAGCAACCCTGGGTATTAATCCATACCAAAACAGCAGCAGTGGAACGGCTCTGCTGGGGTAAACCCAGCACTCACACCAAATAGTAACGATCGCTCCCTATGGCACTTTCAGTAAGGAAAACAGACAAAGGAGGAAGAAAAAATATTCACAGACAAGATGCAACTTCAAAGAGGTCTCTTTCTCTAGCAAAAAAGCAGTCACTGAGTAAAGGAGAAATTCCCAAAGATTCAGATCTCAAAGGGATTGAAAAAACCCCTATCATATTTAGGTACCTCAGAGAGCTTCCCAGAATGGCTGAAGCACTTTCAATCCCCTGTTCTTCCCATCCCAATACACCATCTCCCATCCCCAGCACATGCCATAAACAAATCGTGCCAGAGCATCCCCTGGTAGGACACCTCACACCTCTTCTTCGTTCCTGTGCAAGGTCTAGCCTCCCTGGCAAGCTTGAGTGTAAAGGGCATTTAGAGTGTAAAGGACATTAAAAAAAACAAACCGATGTTTACTCCTAATGTGGCCACTGGCTTAGTAATTCAAGCCTCAGAAGAAGACGTGGCTGGTTTAGGAAAAGTTTGAGAGGGGAGCATTAGTTACAGGCACCCCAGGCATGTGAGCAAAGAGAAGGGAGGGTGCCAGTGCAGGGAGCAGCCACCACAAAAACATAAAATTTACAATTATTATAAACACAAGACACTTCTAAAAAATGCAAACATTTATAAGTGTGCTGCTTATAACTGCAAGAAAACTTGCAGAATTGTAACAATCTGAGTAAAGCTAAGCAATTAAATAGAATTAAACCAAAGGGGATTTTGCATTATTATACAGTCACACAGCAGAGCATCACTTAGGTTTCTTTCTTTCCTGCTCTCTCTTCAAAATAACCAATTTTTATTGAGTTTTATAATTGCCCTTTATTATCCAGATCAATTAAAGGCTAGGAAAGAAATTGTGTTCATAGAGTAGCAAGCCAGACATAGGAACATATCAATTAAATGTCTGCATAAAGTGGATGAACATAAGGCAGCTCATGAACCAGGGAAGGAAAAAGACAGAGCTAATCCTGGGGCAGAGCTAAGCCTCAGAAATGAAACACAGAAGAGAAACACAAAAGCCAAAGCAATTTCTTAGTACTAATTGCTAAGGTTGCCTCTGTGTGCCACTGAATTCCCCCTCAACATGGGACATTAAAGGCGGCTGTGTCTCAAGACAGGACTCCTCACCCCAGTTGCAAACCAGTCTATTTTGCTCAGAACTAAGGAGCCAAACTGATTGTAATGATTGTAATGTACCTCAGGGGCATCAACCTGCATGTCTCCACTGAGGGAAGGCAGACTCCAGGACACAGGGACTCAAATAGTTTCATTCAGCAGCCTTTTCATATACAGGCATCCCATATCACCATATTCACCCTTTTGCAAAGTACCATGGAAGGACAGTCCATGCCCTGACCATATACACTGGAAACACCTCCCCTCTATGCCCACTTACAGACCATGATCTTTAACATGGTCTAAAATGATTGAAGAATAATTAGGGGAGAGGAAGAGGAAGAACACTTACAGAGGGTAACCCACAGAAAACAATTTAGGGTATCAGAGGGGATATAAACAAAAGTTACTGACATGGTCCAAGGAAAAAAAAAATGGAAAAAAAATTAGGACTAGATTCCCTAAAATGGGAATAAAACTCTGAAGGTCTATTGGAGTGCAGAATATCATTGAAGGAGAGGTGGCAGACACCCAAGTTAAAACCGAACTGGTCGGAGTGCTGAAACACAGTCAGGAATAGCACTGAACTGGCCAAGGAATGGGATGGAAAGTACAACTGCACTTCTGCCTCCGCAGCCTGGTGGATGTTCTGCCTCAAAATCAGTCTCGGAGCCACCGGCACAGACAGGCTGCGCAAATGGCCCAATTAAGCCTAATGAAGGCAAATGCCCAGCAGCAGCAGAGGCATCACCTTGCAATATGTTTAGCCATTATCTTCAGTGCTCTGTTCTGAAGCCATTCAACAGCACCAGTGAGAGGCAGCTTATTTCATCACCTTTCATGCTCCCCGTGTTGCTACGCTGCTTTGAGGGATACCGACACCTACAACTCTCATCTGTATTATGGGAGGTGGGTCTTGCTGAGGACCCTGCTGTGTTCAGTAAAGGCAAGAGTTGCTTGCCTGCTCCTCCACCGCCCGTTAAATTCTCTGTGATGTACAATGCATAATGCTTAAGACATCATTGCCCTTGGGACATTTGATTCCAGCGCCTTCTCCCTCCTAAGTCATTCTCATCAGCGGAAACTGGGAATTCATCAGTGGCAGGAAACATTACAAAACCAGGAGACAGTTAATGCAGAATGCTGCAGTTGTGGCTGTACCCATTTAGACCAGGACTGAGTATTTCAGGTCAGTTGGCCAGCAGGACTATCTTACTACATTGCCCTTGATTCAGAGATACTCTAATATACATCAGGCTCTCTAGCAGCTCATTATCTTCCTATTTTTGAAGAGATAGAATCATAGAGTCATCACAGATAATGCACAGCTCTTCCTTAGGTTGATTAACCAAACCCTGAAATGCACAAAGGGATCCTCTGAGCATTAAACCATCTGGCTCAACCTGGATTTCACCAAGTGCTGCTTAGGAAATGTCAGCACACACTACTGAGGTGACTGTTCTTCAGCCCTGTTCCTTTGCCCACCCCAGAACGTCCCCTCACAATCCTTGAATAAAGTCGCTAAGCTGTCACACCGGGCCTTGGGAAACAGAGGCTGCCCTGAACTCCAGTCTAAACTGCTCTTTAAAGCCCTCTTTCCACCAAGAAGTGAAGCACACCTGTAACTCCCCATCCAGGAACCATAATAACACTCAAGCACCTGGTTAAGGCAATGCTTAAGGTAACCGAGACCCGCCAAGCCAGCCACAGGAGTCTTTCCAACGACAGCAGAGTATTTTCTGGTCCCAAACATTGAAAAAGCTCACTCACATCCCCATTCTGAATTGAACGGCAGCGTAATTCCCAGTCTAAGATCCAGGGATCAAAGGGATCATGCTTATTTATTCTGGATCACAGCAGAGAGAAAACTGTTGTAGTTGGTTCTACGCTGCCTGTCTGTTTTGATTTCTTCGTCTTGGTATCTGAGGAGCTGTTAAGTTACGGATAATTTTACTTAGTTATTTATGATGTTCCTTTTCCTTCACTTTTTCTCTCCCTATCCCATCCCCAACCACCAGTCCTTGTTTGTGCCAAACAGTCAGAAGCAGAGGGTTGACATGATAAGTCTTGACAGCTTTCAGGGCTTGCAGAGATGTGAAATTAAACAAAACCCAAACTATTAACAGGGCTACTCTTGACAATTCAGGGGCTTCCACGCAAACAGTGAAGCTGTTATGGTTAAAAGAGAAAATATTAAACCAAAAAGATTAGCAAGAAGTCTACAGCTTGAACCTGATCTACTGGCAGCCAAATACGAGTCTGCATTGAGTCCATGTGGTGAGTGTGGGGTTGACTTTTTAAAAGAAGAAACAACAAATCCCCCTCAAAGATGTCGGCTACTGACAACAGCATTTTTTTAATTCCCTTGTGAAATGTTTAACACATTCAAGACCAGGTTGGACGGGGCTCTGAGCAACCTGATCTAGTTAGCCATGTCCCTGCTCACTGCAGGGGGCTTGGACTAGATGACCTCTAGGGGTCCCTTCCAACCCCAAACATTCTATGATTCTATGATTCTACATTAAGCACCTAATTGTTCATGATATTCCACTCTCTTGCAAGCAAGGCACCTCATGGCACAATCTGAAACAAAATGTAAGCTTCTTTTAATTTTTTTTTTCCTCCAATAAATGTCACATTTTTTTCAAAATCTTTTATTTTAAGGCCAAAACATTGGTACACCAGAAAGGATAGTGTCACAGCCCTAAGACTTAGGAGATCGAGTTAAGTGTCTGTTCCAGGACAGACCTCGGTGTAAATCTCAAACAGGCTGTTTAGTACGTCTGTGCCTGGGTTGCAAAATTGTGAGCACAAAGACACGAGCAGTGGATTCTTTGCGAGCCCTGGACTTTGCAATTGGCTTTGGAAGCAGCAGTTAATTTTGCTCCAGACAAATTGCTCAAAGGCATTTATACAGCAGAGTCCAGCAGTAAAGCGGGTAGCTTACTCTAAAAGCATAGATTCAGCATGTGTCTCCTTCCCCAGGAGAGAGACACATGTGCGCTCGCTCTCTTGGCAAAAAAGCTGCCTATGGAATTAGATCCTCCAAATTGTTCTAATGGGCTAGAAAATAAATTATTCAGACTTCAGTGCATACATTTAGAATAGATCTTACAGTATGGTAAACAAAGTAATCCCAAACAGCCCTGGATATATGCATGTTGGTGGAGAAAATTATTCTGAAGTTACAGCTACACACTTAAAATACTGCCTCGTTGTTCATGATAATGGTGTGGGTGTCTAAGGGGGGGTGGGATGTGTGTATTAGGTTTTTTACATAGAAAATGCATCTAATTGAGGCCTCTCATATTGTATCTGATTAGGATCTACCCATCATACTTCCTCTTTCAGATAAAAAATTTACTTGTGTTTTAAAAAATGCACTGATAGCAGAATCCAAGTGGAAGGTACAACCAGTTGCTTTGTAGTTTAATTCACTCGGAGGGTTTTTCTCCATGTATTTAATTAGAAGAGCTCTCTCAATCCCACTTGCTATCCAGTTACCCTTGTGCGAATAGGCTTCCCCCTCTAACTACGGAGTAAGAGTATACAATGGAAAAATCAACATCCAAGTATTAATAGTAGTGATGAAAACATTATCCAGCAAATGTTCTTGTAATGTAAGGCATACTTAATTTACTGTTCCTTTCAGCTAAACACATAGAGGAGGTGGGAATGGAATACATATATACATTGACGGGATCAAATGAGCCAGTAATTTTATATGGAAAAAGCAGAAGCCCGTGTGCT